ATTGAGATCAAAAGTGAAATTTAATAATAGTTTCAATTGGTTATTCTTTGACCATGCATTTCAGTTTTTACAAGAATTTTGTATTCAACAGAACTTGCTAAATCAGTCTGGTATTTTTTCTTTCAAGCTGTCATTAAGTCCTTCATAGATCTGAAGTCAATAACTTTTAGAATCAGTTTTAATCTATAGTTGAACTTATTTTTTAATTATCTATATTTTTCCCATAAGAAATTGAAGACAGTATCAATTAAATAACTATTTATCTCAAATTGAAATCAATTTTGTTTTGAAGAGTTTATTTTAATAAACATCTGTACTGTTGAAGAAGAGACTTGAAGTAACAGAAATTTGTTTCAATAGAAAGATGCTTGAGAATACAATGGACCACACATGTGAGCAACGACAAAGTTTTAGAGAAAATGAAAAGTACATTTATACTTCAGGAAGAGACAGTTGAAATTTCTAGGTCACATGATGAGGAAAGAGGATTTGGAAAATTTCATACTCACAGGATAGATTGAAGGCAAGAGGAATAGAGGAAAACAATGCATAACCTATCTAGCAAGCTTGGATAAATGGATGGCAGTGCAAGGTTTAGGAGAGATATCAAAAAGACAAAATTAAGAGCTACAAAGGACAGGAAATTGTAGAAAGCTATGATCATCTATGTCCTGAAGGGACATGTCAGATAGAAAACTCTTGTACCAGAAGTGAAATTTCAGAAATTTTAATCTTTTCTATTCTGCTTTCTTTCCAACAAAACCTGAAAAAAAAAAAAAAAAAAAATAAGCATCTATGAAATTATAATAGAATAAATTTCAGTTTTGTTACTATTGATTCTGTTTCATGCTGAATTTACAGACAGGAAAAATTTGTTGACTATTATTTATTTATTTATTATATGTGGCTTAAACATATCTCAGCAATCTTAGACCTTGATGCCTGAAAAAAATGGAGTATCAAAAGGACTGTTTTTCCCTTGACACTGCTATCATTTTAACTACCTTTGCTCCTTGGCAATGTTTATTGTTTTAAAAAGTGATTATTAGAATTGTAATAAAACCTAAACATGATAAAAGTGAATTTATATATTTTTTTTTGTTCTTGAGAATTTATAGTAAAAATATTAAACACTACTAGATTATTTACAAGAATAATTTTATATTTACAACATTCTAAAAACTAATGCAATGCAATATTTATTATTTACCAATTTATAAAGAAATGTGGAAACAATCTTTTAGTCATAAATTTATAAACATTTATTAAATTACTTATGGAGACAACTAGAAAAGTCTTGCAAGAAGCTGGCACAAATCTCAAACCATCTAACATTCCTACATCAATGCAGAGACCTATGACTCATTCCTTCAGGCTTGGAACCAAGACTCCCTATCAATTCAAGGAGAGCTTCTCTGGTTGCAGATAAAGCGGGACACATCCTTGTCAAAGAGAGAATCCAGTGCCATTGTTGGATAAAACAGAAACTGCAATCCAATATCTCCCTTGAGGCCTTCTTCAACAGAATTACTAATGAAGAAGACTGAAAGAGGATTCATCACAACCTGGATAAATCCTTCAGACATGAATCTGATGCTGTCAAGGCCTGTCAAATGCAAAAATTAAGTAAATTGAAAGATCAGATGGTGACACGCAAGGTCCATCACCAACCAGTAAAGGCAGTCATCAACATCAGCTGAGTACTTCTGCAGAATCAGTGCTAAACAAGGGTCTCAACTTTACCAGTGCCATCAGGCAGATACCGTACTTGGATGTCATTGCTCAAATCGAAGAAATAGCCTTGAACTTCCCTCAAGCTCAGGCAGATGAACTAAGATGGAAAGTGAGATACTGGAGAAAGCTAAGCTACCCAAATCAAATATCACAAAACTGGAAAGGCTGGCAATCAGAACCTTACAGAGGAATGAAAGCATCATCATACTGCCAGCTGACAAAGGCAATACAACTTTAGTGATGGCCAAGTTGGAATGTATAGAAAAACTGGAAGACCTCATTGCAAATTGTAGCTACAGTAAAGAAAGACCCTATAATAAAAACAGAACGCAAACTGTCACAGATCCTAATCAAGAACAAGGACCACTTTTCACCTAAGACATACAGGCAGTTGTCACAGTGTTATACCAAGCTACCTTACATATACAGTCTCCCAAAGAGTCACAAAGATGGTATTTCACTCAAGCTGATTGTTAACTGTCAAGGCTGCGTGTCCCACCCTATGAGTTGGTTCTTAGTAGATATAATCAACCCATTAATCAGAAAGTCACTATCATATGTCCAGAACTCCGCCCACTTTGTGGAAATAATCAAAGATGCTTCCATCCAATCCAACCAGATAGTGAGCCTAGATATGGTGAGTTTGTTCACCAAGGTACCTACGGAAGAGGAACTCCTGGTAGTTAGGGACAGATTGGCCTCGGACTCCTCCCTAGGAGAACAGACCAGTATACCAATAGATAACCTGATGGAGATACTGATTTTCTGTACGCAATCAACATACTTCAGAATGAAATCCGACATATATCGACAGGATGAAAGCTTAGCAAATGGCTCACCATTATCACCAGCAATGACAAACCTATATATGGAATACTTTGAGGAAATGGCATTAGAAACAACACCACTAAGGCCAACCCTATGGCTGAGATACGTAGATGACACCTTCATACTCTGGCCACACCAGGAAGACATCCAGTTGCTACTGGACCATGTGAACTCAATAAGAACATTGATACAGTTCACAATAGAGCGTGAAAATGACAACAAGCTCTCCTTCCTGGATGTACTCGTATCTCGAATAGAGCAGGGGTTCAAGACATCTGTATCCCACAAGCCAACATTCACCAGACAGTACTTTAACTCTCACCATCCATACAGTGTAAAGAAAGGGATTGTCCACTGCTTACAACATTGAGCAAAAGTCATAAGTGGCAATCCAGAAACATACCAACAAGAAATGGTCAATATAAGCAGTATCCTACAATTTAACAATTACCCTTTACATGGTAGCAACTCAAACAAACTGGGATAGAAGGGTACAAGAGTATAACAGCACTCAGAAAACAGTCTGACTACCCTATGTGAAGGGATTATCAGAGAAAATATAAAGGATCTGTGATCCATATAACATCAGGATAATCTTCAAAAGTGGTTCAACACTTTGCAGACACCTCTTCTGAGTAAAACGCCCCATAAAGGAGAACATGACTAAAGACTGTGTATACGCCATATTGTGTAGCTGTGGTAGGAAATACAAAGAAGAAACAGGCCGCCTCCTTAAGGTAAGACTGCCAGAACATCATAAAGTGGTAACACAAGGGGAAATAGAAAAATCAGGTGCAGCTGACCACATATGGAGGGAAAAGGGTGATCACTGCCCACTGTCGGATGAGGTTTAAATAATAAACAGAAAGCATTCACTGGAAAATATGAAAACTTGAGGAATCAGCACATATGCTAGGCCACAAAAATCTACTGAGCCGACCAAGCATAGATATGAATAAAATATAGGAACTAGTAATAAGGAGTGCTAGAGAAAAGCAATATAAGCTATGGTAAAAAATGCAATATGAGCACTGGTAAAAATGGATGCTGAGATATTAGGTTTATAAGTCCCAAAAATTCATACACAGATGGCCCAGTGGATAAAGATGTTGGTTAGATTCAGTGACTAGACCCAAAGAGTTGTGAGGCCACAGCCGTGGTGAACCAAACTTGGAAAGTTGAGTTAAAGGAAATAACTGAGACATCTGGAAGAGGCATGGCACATAGAACTAGAACAATCTACCTTTGTTTGAAATTCCAATCACCTGAAGAAGGCTGGAGTGTACAATGGCCAAAACGTTGTGAGGATAACACTGAATAATGTAAATAATGTAAGTAATCATAATACCTCATTTCAGAGATATAGATAGACAGATATTTATTAAATTATTAAAATATGTGAACCAATTATAAGGAAATCCTTTACCATTTTATAATAACTTTTATAAAAGTTCAAATTGATTGGCAATTAGCTGATGTTTTGCCAACCATGCCAATAAATAATCTGTCTAATAAATAAATAGTGTTTATTATTTTTGTTGCAAATTCTCAAAAACAAAAAAAAATGTATAAATTCACATATGTTTAGGTTTTATTAAAATTTTAATGATTACTTTTTAAAATATAAACATTGTCAAGAATAAATGTAGTTAAAAAAATAGCAGTGTCAAAGGAAAAACCATCCTATTAACACTTTTTTTGTGGGCACAAAGGTCTAAGATTGCTCATATCTCTTTAAAACATCATCCTATATTTTAAGGAGAAGATATATCATAATGGCAATACATCTTGTGATCAAACTTTTGTTAGGTTGGTGATTTTAAGTATACTATCTAATTCTGAAAGGTACACATAATAAGTATTAAAAACTACAAATAAGAAGATTTACAAGTTGTACTACCAGGTTTTTTGTGGATGAAATGTTAAGAGATTTATTTTTATGTATTACAAGAAATGTGATTATTACTTATTTTTTTAACATGAACACAATATGATCTGTTTTCCCTCTATACATTTTATACCAAATCCTTATTTAAGCTTTGAGATTATCGGTATAAATAGATTGTGATCTCAGTCCTTGTTCACTTTTTATTAACCATAATGAAAACATTTTCAAAACTAATGTAGGTGTGGCTGTTAAATCAGTTATGCAGTCTAAAATACTCTTAAGAAATTAGTACTGCCATTTGTATTGTTCATGATACCTGTTTCATAAAAGACGGGGAAACAGTGTGTATATGCACATGTACTAACCTGCTTTTTTTTCCCCTCAAAGTTCACAATCACAAACTGAGGCCAGCTTATTATATTTACATAGTCAATTGAATTTCTTTCATAAATACAAGCACAAAGTTGTGGTCTAATTTTACCTTATATGTACATTGTAGGTCAATTTTTTATTTTTCTATCTACCTCATTTGCTTCCATTTTAGAATAGAATGTTTTTCAAGGATGAAGGATTTCTCAAAGAAATGAAGGTCATATTCAGGTAAAGCAGATCAAACTAAATGAGAAAAATACATTTTTGATGAAAAATATACAGGTTTATTAAACAAAATCTTAACCAACGATTATTCTAAACAGTATATCTCATTTTGTTGTGAATTATTATTAGTTTACTTAGGTTTAGTAACTGTTAAGTCAAATATACGTGATACATGCTTGGGCAGTCATGTCTTTCAATACATGACTGACTATGCAGAAGATTTTCCTGCAGTAGGTTGCCATTTCTTTCTGTGGTAGACTGGTTGCCAACCAAAACTATAGTACCCAGTCTGTTCTGCTATTCAACCCATAGCTGGGGGAGAAGTGATAGATTCATGCTTTTCCCAAGGGTATTTGTACAAAAGTGAACATAACAAACCTGACTGGAATTCAAACCCAGTTCTTCGATTTCTCATTCCAAACAAAACATAAAATTCCATATTTTTCATTCAAGTGTTTTTTTTTTTTTTTTTTTTTTTTTTTAGGATGTTACATCGAATTTATTTTTAATGATATTTTCATTTTTTTTTTAAAATAAAAATAGAATCTATAATTAAAAAATAAAAATTGACTAACCTATTTTTATGATCAAAATGTAAAAATATATTTTTCAGAAATGAAGATTTTGATTTGTTAGCTTTTCAAAATATACTATTAAAAATTTCAACATTGTTCATTTCACTTCATACATTGCTAACTTCCATTTACTCTCAAAGTGTTGATCTAAATGTGCAGATGCTTACCACTTCTATGGTGCTAAATGGTTTTAATAATTAAGAATTGTAAAAGCCATCGACAAAACAATCAATTGTAAAAATCATAAAAGTCCATATTGGAAAGAGCAAAATTAAATAATTTTTTTTAAAAGCTGACTCTGCAAATTAGCCATTTTTTTGTTTAATCATGAGCAAGATATAAGGCACATAAGACAATAGAGATGATAAAACCAGATTTATATTTTCATGTAATATTTGCACTTGCTACCTTGTAGTTCCTGCCATTTTAAGCAAAGGCTAGAAGGAGGTAACTTCAAAAACAAATCCACCTCATATGTTGACTTGAAGAAAGAAACTGCCCCACTTCAAACTGTGACAGAAAATAATAGACTCCTTGGGCTTAGTATAATAGTTCAAACTGTGGAACATGGCATGGTGCTGTAGACCACTCTGATTTCGAACCACTCACCTATGGGTGTATCACCCACAGCATTTTAGACAAAGAATATTTGCACATACATACATGCAAACAAGCTTGATATATAAGATTCTTATGTTAATTTTCATTGTGTTTTAAGTTAAATTTATAAGAAATAATTGTTGCTAAAAAGTAAAAAAATGTATGTTTTTGTATTCACTGCAGTTATTATACTAATCAGTAGTACAATAATAGAAAACTGATGTAGCCAAATCAGCAAAATTTAATACATCATTCTCATGAAAACTTAAATTCTTTATTAATGTATTAACTCACTATTTTCATCTTGTAATTTTACTGCAGAATATGTTTTCTTTAATATTAATAAACTATTAAAATAACAATTTATGTTTCTGTCATGGAGTGATTTCACAGTGGAGGCTTGTATTTGTACTAAGTCGGTCCTAAAATAGGTTCGATGTACAAAAATGTTAGGAACTTGATATAATAGGTATGACACAGAGAAATCTACTTGTGGTCGCTGATAGTTTAGTATTCGACTAACTGTCATCCGACATTGACTGACTCACCAACTCACTAGCAACTGACTCGTTACTCTTACTACTCCTACTTATTATAGGTGGGAGAGTCTATTAACTATAGGATAGGTAACACTGACGATATACGATATACATGTGGAAAGGTGTTTGTAAGAACATAATATTTATGGATGCATGTGTATCTTTCTAACACGGGTCCAAAATATATGATTACTTATCTTTATATTCAGTTCTCTTTTTTATCATTGTCCTTTCTTTTCTTTCTCACGTTTCCTCTTTTCTTTCTTTCCTTTTCTTGACACAAATATGATTTCACACACTGTCTGGCTGTAACAGGGATATACACTTTTTTCCTCTCTCTGGTTTTCCTTTTTTCTTTCTTTCTTCTTTACACAATTCAGCTTGAAACAAAGATATATACTTTCTTCCTCTCTGGCTTTCTCTTTTCTTCAAACGCAGACTGTATTCTCAGCGTACAAATTCCTTTACGTCTTCTGTCATAAACAACGCGAGTTATCACCTTCAATTTGGGGTTATCGAACAGAAATACATGTTCTTATATTTCTTGTCCGGAGTTGCCTAGGATGAATCGGACAAGTTCCATCATTATCAAATGAGTCTCATCTTTCCGTTCACAAGTTATCAGCGCTTCGATTTCGAGTCTTGCTCCTTCAAAGACAAGACAGCACCTGACTCCCAAGTAATTTTCTAACTCTCACGTGTCCTGCATTTTGGCGCGAATTCCAGTTTACATCAGCCCCCTGTCTAGCTTCTGTCTAGACATCTGTTGCTATGGGTAATTGGGTCAGTCAAACTCTTGACTTGCTTTCCCAAAATGTCTCAAGACTTCCATGTGACCTCTTCAGTTGTCAGGCGGAGATTAACCTTAATATATGCGTGTATGCGTGTTTGGGCTATCTGCGTCCGTCACAGTCTTCATTAAAGTTGGTTTCCCTAACTTCTTCCACGTATGCAAATTTATGATAGATAGGTCGGAACCAGTGTCGAGTTGCATTTTTATTTTTTTATTACTTATTTCGACGGTAACAAATTTTCTGGTTATTCAATTGTTCACCTCGTTGGACTTTAATTTTCTTATTTTATTGTCTTTTATTGTCTGCAGTGTGAGCTTTTATGACCCACTCTTTTACAGTTAAAACATTTTTTATTCATAAAATTGCAATATCTGTACCAGTGAAGTTCACCGCAAGCAAAACATGGCTTCGGGAGTTTTTGCTTATTTTTCTCTGGTATTTCACTTTTTGTTTGATAATCCGCAATTTTAGAATTCTTTTTGGTAGACTGACTTTCTTTCTTGTAGCATATTTTCCTTACATGCGAAACGCCAGACTGTTCTATCGTTTTCGAATCTTTCTTTACGCTAACATATCTTGTGCAGTCTTCTGCCAACTTCTGTATCGTAATCCTTGGTTCATTTTCTAATTTTGTCAGTACTAATTTTCTCAACTCTGCATCTCTTTTCGATACCAGCCCTTGAACAAACACTAAGCACTTAAAATTGTCAGCGCTTAACTCTGCTAGCTTGAATTCTTCACAATGCTTATTCTCATTGGCTGCGTACGTTATATAGTCTTGTTTGTCATCTTTCATCAGATTCAAATATTTCCACCTCTTGTGAAACAAAGATGTCTTTTTACTAAATATTTCACTTAATATATTTACCGCCTCGGTAAATGTCAACTCACTAGTTTTTTTCAGTAAAATGTAGTTTACCAATTTGTTATGCTCAGCAGTTCCTAATTTGCTTAAAAGAAGCCTAACCTTCTTTCCTTCAGACCACAAGTGGCAGTTCTCGTTATACATGTCTGTATATTTTTTATAATACTCTTCAAAAGTTATCTCTTCATCTGGACTGTACGTGAATATTTCAATTGAATTCCATATTGTATTCTTTGGGAAAGAATCATTTTGTAAATTTTTTTCTTTCCTCTTCTCGGTTATTTCCAGAATTTTGTTTTAAACTCCTTATGCATCTGTTCCATTTCTCGTTGAAACTGCATTTGTCTGTTAAAAGTTTCCTCCTGTAGTTGCATCTAGAATGTCTTCTGTTGCTCTAATATTGTCATCTGTTGTTCCATCTGGAACTCAAAAAATTCCTGGAATATATTTTTGCATTCCTCAATCTTCGCAAAAAGTTTACACAATGCTTAAATATTGTAGGGGTGGGGTCCTAACGAATTTGGAATTCGTGACCTATTTGAGCAAACTGCCTTATCGAAAAAAAAAATTCTTTTCTTTTTTTTTTTTTTTGTGTGTGTGAATCCAAGATTTTGTCGCTGAAATTGTGACAAGCAAGTTTTTTCTTTTTCCTCCTTTTTTCCTATGAGTACGGATTTCGTCACTAATAATGTTGTGGTGAATTTTTTTTTTCTTCCACTGTATGAATTCGAATCCCTTCGCCAAATTATACTGTGGTGAACGAAATTTTTTTTTTTCCTCTTCCGTTGTATGAATCCGAATCCTTGTGGCCAAATTATGTTGTGGCGAGCGAACTTTTTTCTTTTTTTTTCTTTTCCACCGTAAGAATCCGAATCCCTTTGCCAAATTATACTGTGGCTAATGAAAATTTTTCTTCCTCCGTATGAGTTCGAATACTTGTGGCCAAATTTGTTATGGCGGTTGAATTATTTTTTTTTTTCCTCCATATGAGTACGAATTCCTAGTCGCCAAATTTGTTATGTGGCGAATGAATTTTTTTTTCTCTGTATGAGTACGAATTCCTTGTCACCAAATTTGTTGTTGAGTGAACGAAAATTTTTTTTTTCTCACTTCCACCGTATGAATCCGAATCCCTTGTCGCCAGATTTGTTATGGAGTGATTTCACAGTGGAGGCTTGTATTTGTACTAAGTCGGTCCTAAAATAAGTTCAATGTATAAAAATGTTAGGAACTTGATATAATAGGTATGATGCAGAGAAATCTAGTTGTGGTCGCTGATAGTTTAGTATTCGACTGTCGTCTGACATCGACTGATTCACCAACTCACTAGCGACTGACTCGTTACTCTTACTACTCCTACTTATTATAGGTGGGAGAGTCTATTAACTATAGAATAGGTGTGTTGCACTATAACAGTTTCATAAATTTATGTTTATGTAAAATGTCTTTGGTCGGCTATCAATACTGACAATCTTCCGGCAACTCCTGCTACCAAGCCAGCCCCAAATGTAATGCCCTGTATTCCTTTGGATCATGTTGGTATGGATAAGAGACAGGTGTATGTGTGTGTGGCAGGGGATAAGTATGTGGTCTGGGCAGTGCTGGGCCTCCTTATACCATCGCCCAGGCCTGTGCCCTGGAGAAGTCACTCCAGTCTCACCACCAAAGGACTGAATTTTAACCAAACAGGGTGCTACCTTTATCTTGTGAGATAAACGGATGCTTACTATTATAGAACTAAAATCTCTTTGATTCATGATTTAAATATTGAAAGATATACTCCTCAATAATGATAACAATGCTACTCTCCAAAAGACATTTTACCTGGGATCCAGCACTGTTGTTTTAATAATCAAAAGTGGCAAAAATACACCCAAATGGATTTTGCCATACAAACTCTACATCAGATATCTTTTCCAGGTACATGATTTTATAAATCACTCTGATATCACCTGCATTTGTGTACAGTTGTCCAATTACTGGTGGAAATTTAAGAATCACATCATCAAATGTTCTAACACCTGTACCAAACGCAATGGAATTTGACAAGCACCTTAAGTGACCTATTGGTCACTGTAAGTGAGGCTGGAAACCATTCAAAATAATCTTTATAGATTTTTGTTATATTGCCTACTTCTTAAAATACCTTATCAGCTGGCAATACTTTTTTGAAAAAAATTATTACCAGCAATACAATTTTGAAGGAAATCTATTACCATGAACAGATTTTTGCTAAAACAAAATATTACCAGCAATAAAAATTTTTGTCAGCATTAAATAACCCATTGATGTTGATATGCCGTTAAACAAAATAAACCAAACCAATCTTAACCAAAGAATACATACTCTATTCATACAAATTTATCCTAAAAATGTTGTCAGCATTAAATAACCCATTGGGGTTGATATGCCTTTAAACAAACCAAACCTTATCAGCTGTCATGTCACAACATAACCTGTGCATAAGTCCATGCAATCAACTCTGCCCATAGACGTTATTGAGTCATTCTCCATCACTATGAAATACCCGACAGTATCTCATCTGTGGAACACATTTCACCAGTTAGGTTTATAGAAACATTTATGAACAAATTTAAATTCCCATAACTTTACTGTATCTGACAACTTTAAAACTCTGGCAATATCAAGTAACAGCATTGCATAATGAAGAACACTCTATATGCTATACAAAGACAGAAATTGTGAATGGATTGACAACCTTGAATCTCTCATCTCATGAATACCACTTTCAACAACATTATCGCTGTATTAATGCACCTCACCATCACTGTTTATCACCTTGATATTCTTGGTTTACCCGATCAATCCAACCAAGAGGTTAGAGATTGATAAATCTGGAGCTAAAACATGTAACTAAGTGTTCTGCTCAGACATGTTCATCACTGTATTGCCTTGGTTAGCAATGAAACTAACCATGAACTTGAAGCCAATTTAAACTGTTTTACCTGCAGTGACTATAAACAAGTTGGCAAGAAAGTTTTATTTTATTCATCACAATTAATCACAGTCCACATCACATTTACCCTGGATAAGCAACTTTGAATTCGCCAAAACAAACGCATACTGCTTCAGGTAAAAAATAAATATGATTTAGCTGATTGTATGCATCATATCCATGTCTAACACTTTCGCCCCAGCCCCTCAACCTCCGACATCTTACTCTCTGGGCTGAGGTGTCTACTCAGTCTTAACTGAACTTAAGGGAATGGCCATAGGTACCCTGAGCCTCCTTAGATCATTCGACCAGTCCACTGGTTTATCCTGCTCCCTACCCACATTGTGTTTGGTTTGATCCAGAAAGCAGAAGTGATGTACATACATTGACGGCCAACTGAAGATGTGACGTCGTCCCCCGGTCGCAGCGCCAACTGTGACGTTCTATCCTGATCTACCACGGCGCCAGTTGTGACATCCCCAAACAGCACCAATTGTGACGTCCTCGCCGCGGCGCCAGCTATTCGCTCCTCGCTGCTCCGTTCGGATGTCGCTGCTCCAAACGTGACGTCTGCCTGTCACGTCAGTCGTGTTGTCTCGTCCTGTGACGACCAACTGGCTTGGTATCGGTCGCAGCACCAAATGTGACGTTCTAACCTTTTGGTGATTCGGGTGGGAATCTGGTTAGATTTGATATCAGCCTCGTCGTTCCCAACTCGCTTCCAACGCCTGGTTACCAAGGTAACTGCATTGATCTCCAGTCTGCCTACCCACGTTGTGAATTGATCTTAGACAGACGAGATCAAACAGTGGTTGGGGCCGTAATG